TGCTCCACCTGCTTGACCACTTCGGCTCCAGCTTTCTTGGCATCATGCTGTGTGACCACAGAGGACAGTCTGTACACATCTAGTGTGTATTCTCTGAAGAGAAACAAGGCAGAACGGTTGTAAGACTGGGCCAGGCCTCAGTTTAATCCCAAAGTGCATGAATTCACTCTCCCACTCTTAAGACATTCAAAGTGGGCACTGCCTAACGGCTTCTAGAATGTAAGCAGTCTGTTCTTTATTAAAGATGGCTTTAATTAACCTTTTTCTTCTTCTGGAATCCCTCTGTAATAAACATTAGGATTTCTCATGTATACGTATCTTTCATGTCTCTTTTAACTAAAAAAATGTCAGGAATAATGACAAATATAAAGAACAGTACACCTATTACTCAGTTTAAGATTTGTTTACTTTTTTTTTAAAGATTATTTATTTATTTATGCATACGAGAACAGGGGTGTAGGCCAGAGGTGTGGGGATGGGAGAAAATTCACCAGAGACAGAGTGGGGAGCAGAGTAGGCCAATCTACTGAAATACACTGCTGAGGGGAGTAGCAGGTGTCATTGGAGAGGTCTGCCATGCCATGTGGCTCAGCTCCCTGGTCAGGGATCAAGCACAGGCCATCCTGCTGAGACTTAATTCTAGGTCACCAGGAGACCTTATCATTCAGTTTAGGAAAAGTAACTACTTCTGGAGATGCTGGGCACTCCTCCATAATCCTACCTCCCTGACATCTATCCTGAAATGTTCTTTTTTCCTGTGCTATGTTTATATCTTTAAAAAGTGTTTTGTAAATATTCTTATGTGTATCTTGGTATACACTTGCAAGTTTCTTTACTTATGCTTTGTAGTAGAAGTTCTGGATCACAGATTTGCATCTTGATCCACATGGCAAGGCAGACCTCCCCTGACCTGCCCACTGCTCCCTTCAGCTGTGTATTTTGTCGATCTGCCTGTTCTGCTCCCCACTCTGTGTCTGATGAATCCTCTCATGGCTCCTGGACTCCTGGCCTGTACCCCAGTCCTATATGCATAAACAAATAAATCTTAAAAGAAAAAACAGTTAAAAGTTAGGATACAACATTCTATCTAAGCTGACATTGCAAATAAGAATAAAGCTGAGAAAAAATAAGCCATTGAGGTAAGAAACCAGTGCCCTATTTTTCTTTCACATTTTTTTAATCATTATTTACTGAGGTCAGAAGAAAAAAAGGAGAGACGTAACTGCTTGTCATCACTTCCCTACATGTTGTGAGCTCTGCAAGATCAGGGACTTGCTTATATCTTCAACAAACAAGACAGTACATAGATATTGACTGGTCAATACATTTTTGATGGGTGCATTAAAAGAACAAAGGGGATACATTTTTTTTTGTGGCTCTTCATAGGCTCTTCTAATCCAAATTTAAAGAGTGTCAAAACTGTACAGGTCAGTAGTGAACTAGAAGAATGAGAGCCACAGGAGGGTGGATGATCAAGCACTTACTTGCTGAGCTGGTAGTCAGTGCCTTTAACGAATCTGAGCTTATCCAAGGGCACACCAATGCTCTCTAACATTGCCTTGATCACATTCTCATAGTAGTTGGTTCGGAGTTCTAGAAGTTCCCATGGGGCTTTCATGTTATCCAGATATGCGTGAAGGTCCGCAAAGAGAATTGTTACCTGGACACGAGATAAGGTAATTCACCAAGATGTTGAATTTATCCAAGTACTTCCAAACCCCCTCCTGCCACCCTGTGCCCACGCCCCAACTTGTTAAGTCTCTCTTTTGACTGTTCCCCAAGGACAGTTGCTTTGTTTATGTCATCATTCTTACCTCACAGCCTGCTTTCAGGAAATCTGCAATCTTAGACATAGGCACAAAGTAAGCCACATGAGGCTTGCCTGTGGTAGCTGTTCCCCAGTAAACTTTAAGTTCCCGCTCCTTCAGTATCTCCTTCAGCTTCTCTTCCCCCAGGACCTCCTGTTGTGGAAGCAGAAGAGCTGGTTTAATGTCGGTGCCCCACCTTGCTCATCCTTTGCCCTGTGACAAGGAAAACAAAGGCATGTGTCACCGAGACGCCAGGCTCGGAGCAAGCAGGGAGGTACGGCCATGCGCTCAGGGCTGAGCAAAAGCCCATCCAAGTAGGTGCTGTTGCTAGTCCGCTGCAGGGACACATTCGGGGATTGGGACATGTCCCTAACTGCAACTTTAATCCCCAATTACCTCTATTTCCTGTGCCTTCATTCTGTCTCCATTCCTTACCTCCCATTCTAGCAATGGTTTGAATTCCACACAGCATCACTCTTTTAAGATCACAGGTGACCTTGTGTTGCTAAGTTACACGACTGATTTTTAGTTCTGAAGCTCTATCTGTCCTCTTTTGGTCTCTGTTTTACTAGTTTTCTTCCTAATTCTCTGGCTTCTGGGTCTCATATATCTTGGCAGCTGTTCTTATCACTAAGTATTAGTAGTCCTTATGACCTTCTCTCTTCTTTTTTTATTCTACATTCTCTCTGATCCCCTTCAGCTGCCCTATAAGTGCATATAAACTAGAAACTCACAAATCTGCTGACCCATAAATAGAACTATGTACTTATCAGTCGAGTTAATTCACACTCAATGTGCTCAAAATTAAATTCCTGTTCTTGCTTTCCTATCTGATTCCCCATTTTTTTTTTTTTTTCACTTAGGGCTTTACTCCAAATCTGTAGATGGTACTATCATTTACTAAGTTGCAAAAGTTACCCCAAACAGCTCTTCTACTTCTCTCCATTTCTACACCCTAGTTTAGGCCACCATCAAATCACATCAGGGTTACTATAACAGCATAACAGATCTTCTCTCTGAATCATATCTACTCTTGCTCTCTCCAGTGTTCTAAAAGATAACCAGAAAGAGTTCAAGCCCCAAATTTGATGCTGCTAATAAAATAGTTTAATGTTTCTTCAGGTGTGGTTGGGGAGCTGTTGGAAGTCATACTAGAGAAAAAGTGTTTTGCCGGTTTGACGATGATTTATACACAGGACTTGTTAAAAACCTGTGTAACAAGTTGTTTGGATGCTGACCCTGCATCCTGGGAGTCCCTGGCAAGCCCTCATCATCCAAGGAAAAGTCAAATGACTTACCCTTTAAAACCTGGGTGAATCAACAGCACTAGCTTTGTGCATTCTTTGTCCTCAACCAGCATTATTTTATGGAGAGAGGTAGGAAAACAAAGGACCTGGCTAAAGGGAAGCACGCAAAAACTTTTGGTTAAGATTGCGAGTGGAATTAACCCAAATGTCTTTATCCACTGTTGAGTGGCTATACCACAAAGAAAATGTGTGTTAGTTATATAATGGAGTGTTATTTGGCCATATAAAAAGCTTAATTTCTGACAGGTGCAACAACATGGATGAACCTGAAAACATGTTAAATGAAAGAAGTCAAACACAAGACTATATGTTAAAATTCCATTTATATGAAATGTTCAGAAGAGGGAAAACCAAAAAGACAAAGTAGGTTAGTAGTTCCCTGGGGGGTTGGGAGGGAAGGGAGAAATGGCCCTGATTCCTAATGGGTATAGGTTTATTTTGGGGGTAATGAAATGTTCTGGAGTTAGATAGTGGTGATAGTTGCCAGCCACAACTAGAATAAAAACCACTGAATTGTACACTTTAAAGGGGTGAATTTTATGGTATGTGAGTTCTATCTTTAAAAAGGGATCAAAAAGAGCTGTGCTCTGTTCACAAACAAACACGGCCTGCAAGGCACCCGTGACCTGGGCCCTCCTAACAAACTCCTCCTCAACAAACAAACAAAATGGGGTTATTTCAAACTGTGATCTGGAAAGACCTTCCTGCGGTGAGCACAGTCAGAGTCCTCAAGAAGACAAGACAGGAAAGCGCGACATACATATTCGTGAAGCGTGTGATCCGTACTTTGCTCACTCTATTCCTGCCAAATTAATCTTCTCTCTGAAACTATGCCTTTCTCCTAGGTTCCTTCTACCTGAAATGCTTTCCCTTCCATTCTTTCTCTGGTTAACCCATTCGCCCGCTATCCTGGAACACAGCAGAGTCGTTTGTAGAGTGAAGAGGGGTTCCGCACTGTTGGGGCGCAGATTGGAGATCGCTTCCTGCGCCTGCTGTGACACTCCCCCAGCGCTCTCCCCGATTCCTCTCAAAGTTCAACGTGCAGTACCTTCCGGCACTCGCTTCAAATGTAAACCAACTGTGACTGCATTATGGGTCATCTTCAACTTCTGCGCCCCTCTACACAAATTCTGGGGGTGCAAGGCTCTGACGCGCCTAGCACCCGGCCAGGCACCTGGCAGGGGAGTGGGTTAGGAGTCTGCGATTCAAAGCCTGGCACAACACAAGGTAACGAGTGATTTCTGTGGGCACTGTGATTTCTGTGGTACACAGACAACGGCTGCTTGGATGACTGACTGACTGACTGACTGACCGACTGACCGGCAGTGAGCACTGCAGTCTCTCTCGGAACTGCCTCGACCCCACACGGGACGCCCGCCGTAGTGGGGCTCAGGATCACCAGACCTCAGGCCCCCGGCCCCCGATCGCGCATTTCTAACCTCGAGGCTACCCTGACCTGCAGGTTCCGGGTGATAAGGTGCAGCTTCTCTTCAGGGCTCGGGACGTCCCCCATGGCTCGGTGGGTCTCTCACGCGCTCACCCCGGCAGCCGCACCTCTTCCTAGCTCGCCGTCGCCGCGTGCCGTGAACTGTCACGCGGGCCCGGTTAGGTTGCATCAGCTGAGCTCGTCGTTCGCCTAGCTCGGCCTGGACCCTTCTCAGCCAAACAGTAGCCGGGAAAGTCCGGAGCAGTAGAGAGTCGCACTGGTCGATGAGACAGGAGGGCGGAGCTGGTGGGCGGGGTAAGCGGGGCGGTGGGCGGGGTTGTGGTGCGTACGCGAGGCACCACCCTCTGAGGGGCAGGGCAGTTTCCTGCCAATCACTGCTTGTTTGCCCTGCCCCTCCCCCCCCCCGGTGCCTCTTCCTCAGGGTGGGGGGAGGTCGGGGAGGGGGCGATAAAATGGCGCAGGGGGCGGAGTGAAGCACAGTCGTTCGCCCAGGCTTCGGGCCGGCTTCCGGAGGTGAAGAGCGGGAGGGACGTGGGGGTCGCCGTTGCTCGGCTGGGAGCGGGTGGGGGCGCCTGTTGCTTCTCTAGGGGTCCGCGCACACCGTCCGCCCAGTCGAGAGGCCCTCACCCTGCTGGGAGAAGGGCTGGTTCTGGTGCCTGAGGTGATGGCGGCCGGCGGGGGGGAGTGTCTCTGCCCCCAGTTACACGTCGGGGGGAGAGGCGAGAGGTGCCCCTCACCCAGCTGAGGAAAAGGGAGACTGTCTAGTCAGTCACCTGAGAGGAGAACGACTTGGCGTCTCCTGCCTGGGGCTTGGGCGTGAAGTGTAGGCGGGTGGGGATGCCCTGCCCTGCCTACCCCACGCGGGGGTGTCGCCAGAGACCGCGGCGGAGGGCCAGAGTCCGACCCACCCCTTCGGGGAACCGGGCCCGCCTGAGGTGCGGGCGTGGGCGTCCCACCGCTGGAAGAGGGGTGCACCGCCCTGAGCTGTTGGGGTGGCTTTGCCCCTCTGGGGGAGGGGCGGCTGCCAGCCCGCGCTTCTGCCGCCTTCCGCCGGGTGGCGGGAATTCTCGGGCTTTTCGGGGCCGGAGGTGGGAACTGCGAAGGCCCTGGCCCGGGGCGATGCCGCGGCCTTCGCTGTTCCGACGCTGAGGGGGGGAGGCCGGGCGGTGTCCTGGGGGGCTGGGCCCAGGCCCCCTTCCGCAGCCCCTCTAGGGCTGGAGGCACCCCCACTTCCCCCCGGGGCAGGAGCAAAACAGGGGCACCGCAGGGTAGCCGCGGGGGAGGGCGTACAAGTGCTGGATTCCTCACGACTGCCCCTGCCTAATCTCCACTTTTCTTGTGAGGTGCCAAACTTGACTTAATCTAAATAATTTTTAAAAAATTTTATCCGAAAGAGAAAAAACCTGTTGCTGCGGCTTAGTAATATTTGGTTTCCATGCCCGTATGGGAGAGTGCTGGCACCCCTAACCAGTGAAATGTTACCTAAAGCAGAGATTCCAAGCCCTGGGTTATTTTTCTGCTGACAAGTGTTTCCTGCTACTTCAAAGGATGTAGTAGAATTCTTCCGAATAATCCCACTTTGTTTAAATCTTATGCCCATTTTATGGTGTGAAGAAGCCTGCTGAATGCCTTTTGTGCAGTGCGCCCACAGGTTCTGGAGTGGGAAGGTTGGGAATTCCTGTCCATTGAAAAGAATCCTTGTTGGTGGTCATACCTGTCAGATGGATTCAGTAATGGCCTGGGTTTTGGAGCCCCCAGATGGATGTGCGGTTGCGTCTGGTGTTGCATTTTGAGTGGCCTGAATAAAGTAAGACTTCCTGCTCTAAGGCAATCGGTTTTTTAGGTATGATAAAAATAGAAAGGGAACCGGTTTCTGAGGTTGCAACTAGGAGGTTAGAGAACAGAGCGAGGGGGTGGTAAACTGAAGTGTGAAGAAGGGGGTGGACAGGTGAGAGAGACATGGAGGGACAGAATAGGGTCACAGAAGGGGTGGGGGGAGCAGGGGAATTAGAGGTTTGGGAGATGGGGAAAATATTCTTTCCTTAAAAATAAAGAGGTCCTCATATAATAATTATAAAAATAAAGGTAATTTATAAAAATAATAGAAGCGGTGGAGGTTACAAAGCAAGTGGCAAGAAAGGCAGGTGATGGTACAATGGCAGACATAGAAATACTAAGATTGTCTTGTGAACTTAAGAACTTCAATTTTTATCTAAGATTGCATCCCCAACTCCCCTTGCAGATTCACTAAGCAGCCTTCATTAGTGTTGGGTTTTAGGTTGAGCACGCTTTCATAAACACTGCTTTATTTGATCATCATAACCTGTGTTGGACTTTAATGGTGACTAACTACCCCCATATTTTCAGAGGAGTATTCTCATCTGCATTGAGGTTTAGACTTAAAGTGAATTGCTCTTTGGGTTTTAGTGCCTTTATACAAGACGCTTCATTTGAGACCATTAATTTGCAGAATTTGCCTGGTATTTCAGAGAGCCATACTGCCTGGTCTTTATTTAAGGGCAGTATGATTGAATGTTAAACTAGAAGAAAATAAAACATTTTGGATAATTTCTTAACAAGGACTAAGGGCAGTTCCCTACCATTACTATGCTGCTTTTAAGGTTCTGCAGGGGTGATGATGGTAGAGTGAAATAAGTATTACACCTTGGTGGTAATCATGATCTTGGAAGGCTTCTTGTCTTGTGCCAAAGAAGATTAAGGACAGGACAAGGAAACTCAGGAAATTAAACTTAGAAAGTTTAATGGCTAGGAAAGCTCCCTGTGACAGGGAAGGGGGACCAACTGGCTTACCATCGAAGTGCTCATGTTCAGGGTGCTTTATATGAATATTTAGGGAGGTAGCTTACTAGAGTTCCTTTATCTATTGAATACAGGCGTGGGGAAGTGCTTGTTAAAGATTAACATGCAGATAGAAGGCGGGACCACCATCCTACCCTCTTACCCTCTTATTGGGCATTATATGCTGTCTCTTGATAGAGGCTCAGGGCAGGTAATTTTCCACTCTCAGTGGGGCCTCTACCCTGTCTGCCTAATGAGAATCTGTCTCATAACCTCCATTATTTAGCTTTTGTGCCTGTAGAGTGCTAAGTGCTTTATATTCATGATGTCATTTAATTCTTGCAACAACCCCACCAGATCTCATTTTTATAAGGGAGGGCATTTGAAACATGTAATAATATCTTTCTCACTGACTCCTTAATTAAAGTATTATTAAGCTTAAAAAGTTATATCCACCACCCAGCTTTATCTTATGTTATCATATTTGATATGTTAATTTTTTTTTTAAAAGAAACAGAAGCATCACAGATAGAAATGAAGCTGCTCATAACCCCTTTCCCATTCCTCTCCCTACCACCAGATGTAACCACTATCCTGCCTTTGGTATTTCTTATTTTTATGCATGTTTTCATAATTTAATGACATGTGTATCCCTACTCAGTTTGTGGCATTGTTTTCTTTGACAAGTAAATTGCAACAAAAAATAGGTTGGAAAGCTACAGATTCAAATATTCACAAGATATATCAGCCAGTTATAATGTATGGATCTTATATCTATATATATATATTTTAATTTTAAATATTACACAATTGGAACTTTGAACTACATGTTTTATAGTTATTTTTATTTACAGATGAGATGATGTGGTTTCCTTAAAAATAATCTAGTAAAGGAGGGGGAACTGGGTGGGGCAAGATTAGCCATGGGTTGATAGTTATTGGGGCTGTATGAGAGGTATGTGAGGATTCAATATATTTTGTATATGTTTAAAAGTATAATAGAACTTTTTAAATGAGGAAATTGTGAGAATGATTTGTGGATGTTAAAAACGATGTGCTTATGGTATTTTGCATGCTTTTGCTACCAAACCTGTTGGAACATTTTACGAGAGAAACTCAGAAGAAACAGCTTTGTGCCTCTAGATCTTGTGTGGCATAGGAATTGATGCTTGCAATGGTTGTAAAAAATACTGGTTCTATCGGTATACAGGAAAGCTTGTAAAGTAATGCTTTTCTCGCAGTGAGGTTTGAGCACAGTCTGGTATTTCCATTTGGGAAGTCACAAAAAGCCAGTGCTTAAATTGTATAGTAAGGTAGCTTAACTTGTTTTTGCCAAAACTTTCTTCAGTATCTACATCATCATAGTATGCTACAGTGTACTAAATGTAGAAAGCACTGCCATTTGATGACTGACCCTGGGCAAGTCTGAACCAAAGGTAGTCTAAAAAGAAAAAACAATGCCTTTGGAATTAGACCTGGGTTTAAATCCTTGTTCTAGTATTATTGGTTCTAGTGCTGTTACTAGTGCCTCCCATCTTAGTTTTGAACTCATTTGGTCAAGCAAATACTTGGACTAGATCTTTGGAAGGAGTCAGAGGTGGGAGTAGTGGCTCAGAAAGGTTTCTAAGAAGTGTAGCTGCTTAACCCCAGTGTCTGTGATACTTGTGCTTGATTACCGAAGATCTTAAGAAAAAAAATGTCCAAAAGTAGACTCTTTATTGTTGCCTAAAGAAATAACTTAACTCTAGAAAATAATCTAGTCACTGGCAGAGAAATTTCCTCTTCACAGAGACACTGATTCATTGCCTGGAACTCTTACAATATTTAAGGTTTTGATTAAAAAGTCATAGCAATTTTAAGTTTAAATAACAAAGTTTAGTTCCTTTGATATAAGGTTTATTAAAGTTATAGAGGTATGTTGATCAGTTAAAAGTATGTATCTCACAGTGACTGGTGTAGATTAGGTACTTAATATTTCTGTTCTTTCTGTGACATCTCATTTTTAAGTTGATTAAGTTTAACAAGGTCCCTTTTGTTTCTTTATATTCTCCAGTTTATTGAGATATAAATAAATATGACTTTGTATTTTAGTTGTACAACATAACAATTTCATAGCTATATCTATCTATCTATCTATATCTATCTATCTATCTATCTATCTATCTATCTATCTATCTATCTATCTATCTATCTATCTATCTATAAAACTTATGCATACAGAACTGGGGTACAGACCAGAGGTGCAGGGTCCGTGAGAGGATCCACCAGAGACAGAGTGGAGAGCAGAACAGGCAGAAGTACACTGTTGAAGGAAGCAACGGGCAGGCCAGGAGAGGTCTGCTGCACCATGTGGGTCACCTCCAAGGCTGGGGATCGAACTTGCACTGAAGTGGCTGTGGCTAGCTTGCAGTGCTGCATCCTAACCTGTTGTGCCACAAGGGAGGGCGGTGATGAGAGCTTTTAAGATCTACTGAGCATCTTTCAAACATAAAATACTGTAGTCCCAATGCTTATATATTACATAGGTACCTTCTAATCTAAAATAACATATTCCCTTCTAACTCCCTATTTTATATTTTCTCATATTGGTACTTAACTTTCAGTGTTGTCTCCCTAGCGAGATTATGTATTCCTTAAGGGTGGATATCATGTGTTTATTTCTTAGAAATCATATAGAGACTGTTTTCTGTTTTCTGTTTCCTATCTGTTTTCTGAAACAATGAATGAGTAAAGCTAAAATTCAAGGTGTGGAATAGAGGAAAGTGGCTTGGGGAAAAAATTGCAGTTAAAAGATTTTCTGAATTGTTGGAATGTAGTGTTTAAACATTTTTTATAGCTTCTCAGATGTTATATGATATATGCAATATGAGTTTTCTGTCCTTTTTCTCACCCAGAAAGTAATTATAGATTATCTATCACTAAGTTGTTTTAAATATTAGCTGTTTTAATTATACATGTAATAGATAATATTCATATGAAAAATAAATTGATACTACAGTGTCCTCTTGATCTCTCTCCATCTCTTTGCAGTATAACAGCCATTAGTGTTGTGTGGCCTTTGCATTTATATGTGTTGAAAATGAGATTTGTACACATGGTCATGATTAGCTTGTAGATCTTGTTGGGGTCTTAGACATCACCTATTCTTTCTTCTCCACCCCCATTTTAGAAGTAAGGAGGAAAGTCCAAATGGTTAAATGGCTTGTGCAAATATATTACAGCTGGTTAGTGACAACCAGGACTACAAACGAGGTCTTTGGACTCAACCAGTATTCATCCTACTAGAGCAAATGATATTCTTAAGAAAGTACAAATTGTTGGGAGGAACAAAATTAGTTCCTCAGTTGCATAATTTTCCTCTAAAGGTTTTTCTTTGATGTTCTTGACTCAAAATCCAACTTTCTGGTATTTAAAATAAAATCAAGATGAAAATTAATAGATGGAACACCTTAAAACATAATACAGTTGACTTTGTAATTAGCACAGTTGAAAGTGATGAGAAGATCCTCTAATTTTCTCTGTGCCTGCAGGAAGGTGGGAGTCAATCATTTTGACAAGTCTCCTGAAAGGAACAGCTAGCTGGAGCTGAAACCTTTTCCCGTTTGGTCTCGTGGCAAAGGCAGAGATCACGCCAGCAGCTCCACACAGTATGAAAGCTATTTCTTTATCTTGTTTTTTTTTTTTTTTTTAAAGTAACACAGACCTCTATGTCCATTTTTTAGAAAGTGTAAGCTAGGAAAATCCAAATACTTTACAAAATATATTTACTTTGTATGTTGTTGATGTTATTTCATGATTGTATGTACAGATACACTTTGTGTTTTGAAGTAAGTTTAAAGTATTCTTTAAACTTGTAGTTAATATGAAAGTACCATGATTTTACTCAACAGTTCTGGTAATGAATATTTAGGTTTCCTCAAATACTTGGCTATTTTGAATAATGCTGTTTTGAACATCCTTGTAAATATATCCATGTCCATTTGTATAGTAGGTAATTCAGCAGGATAAATTTTCCAGAAGTGATATTACTGGGTCAATGATATCCTAAATTACACTTCACAAAATATTGTGTTAACTCTCACTGAGGGTGATTGTTTCTGACATCTACACTGATCCAGATTATCATGTCATCTTAATTTTTACCATTTTGATAGGGGGAAAAGGTATCTTTCTGGTATGTACGTTCAAGACTCTGGTAATGTTCAGTATCTTAAAGTTACTGTTTGTGTTCAAAGTCATAGTGCCAGGAATTTGAAATATTGGGATACCACCACACTGTAGATCAAATTAGAATTGGTATAGTGATATTTCCTGTTTCTTAGTAAAATTCTCTTATTTCTTTAGACATGACGTGCTCACTAGTGCCCTCTGAACAATCTTCTGGTACTTCTCTCTTGCCTAAAGACAGTGCCCCATTTTCTTGGGGTTCATTGGATGAGGATGGATTGGATGACTCCTTGCTGGAGCTGTCTGATGGAGAAGATGATGATGGCCCTTTCAGCCTCACAGAAGAAGAGATTCAGGAACTCCTAAGGGATGATGATCTAGCAAGTGAACACTATTCTTCGGGAGTAGGGTTGTGTAAAGATGACAGCAGGCATGTTGAGAAGGGCGGGAGAGGGAATCAAATTCTACTTGATACTCCCCAAGAGAAAAACTCAGTGTACAGCACAGTACCAGTAGATCAGACCCCTGGACTCTTCAGACTACCTCAGCTAACTTCCTCAGTTGGTCATGGATCAATTCCTACTAAACCATTAAACAGACACTTTGCACTAGAAAAGAATCTTATAAAAGTAACAGTTGCACCATTTGATCCAACAGTTTGTGATGCTGTACTTGATAAAGACAAGACTGATTCATCCAAAGATAATGAACAGCCCTCCTCCATTGCAGAAGAAATGAGAGAAGATGGTCTGAGCCCAAATGAGGGCAAACTTTGCACTGAGTCTGAAGGGATCAGCTCCAATAATTCTGCCAGAGACAGACCACTGCTCCCTTCTTCAAACAGTAACTTTCAGCACACTGTCTCTGATAAAAATATGTCTGACATTAAGAAACCTACACCTGTATTCTCTCAAATCTCAGACCATTCAGAGACTCCTAATATGGAGTCATCTTGGAGAAGTGTATCACATAAATCAAGTTGTGAAATGAGGTTTCCAGTTGTTTCCAGTTCATCAAACAAAGTAAGTATGTGTTTTCAAGGCAAAGAGAAAAATAAAATAATTTTCATTCCAAAGTGGTAGAGCAGAGATTTGTGTTCAGTTTGAGATTGAATGCTGACTATCACTGTGACCGAAGGCAAATTATTTAGTCCCTTGTTTCTTCATAGTTCTTAACCTATAAATTGTAGTTAGTAACACTTAAATTAATAGGGATTAATGAAATATATTTACAATAATATACATAGTAAGTTACCTCTTATTGAATAACTGTTAAGATGATTTTACTATTGCTTTGGGTTTTGGCCTAAGTTTCAGTTTTTCGTTGTCATGCTCTATTATATTGATCACCAGTCTTTGAAGAACTGAAAAATCTTAAGTAATTTACCTAACGTCTTTGAATCTGACTCTCTACCTGTCAAATGGATATAATAATTATTACACAGAGGTGATTTTTTTTCTCCCCTTATAATTATAGTTACCAATTTGAAGAACCCTTGTAGCTAGGGTTCAAGGATATGCCTGTGGCCTTCAAGAGTATTGCCATAGTTAGTGTTTTCAGTTATTTTCTTATAACTAAGGACCATCTTTCTTCCACTCTGGAAAAAAAAAAGCAGGATATACTTGATAAGGATTCTGGGAAGCTGAAAGTCCACGAGAGAAGACTAGGCAAAGTCATTCCTGTTCTGCAAGCCAAAACAAGGTAATAGTCTAATAAAATACTATGGTTTCTCTTACAGTTTCATTTTTTCCCCACCTCAGTTTCCCCTTGGTGTGGAGGGAAAGAAAACCTACATCAAAGTAAACACATTTTAAATTTGGAGATCACCGGTAACTAACTAGCTGTGTTCTTGAGGAAGTCAATCTCTGAATTATTTGTCAATAAAATGTGGTTAATGTCTTCTCTGCTGCCTCACAGAGTTGTTTTGAAGAATAAAAAGACATTAGTGAAAGCACTGTATAAATATAAGGTTTCTTTTTTTCTGCATGGGGAAACCTAGTTATAGGTACAGTAGGTTAAAATAATTTTATTTTATTTTATTTTATTTTATTTTTTATTTTTTTTAAAGTTTATTTTTACATCATTTTGCACATTTTTTTTTCATCTCCATTGTAATCCCCACGGGTTTCCCATCACCAAATCAGGTTAAAATAATTTTAACAAAGATGTTAAAATATAACTGTAGAAAATATTTTCCTCATCTCTCACTACTTGCCTACCACTGTTCCTAGGGAAAATGCCAGTAGAGGCTACAGATTTGGGCATCATCTTCATTCTGCTCTCTTGTTGCCAGGAGATGGCAGTGTCTCTACATGGACTCTTCAATTAACAAAGCTGTATTTTAGGTTGAGTCAGATGGACTTCTTTATAAAGAGATTCTTAAAGTTTTGATTACACAGATCTCTGCTTTAAAAAATTATAAACAAGGCTAAAGTTCTCTTTGACTACCACTCTTAATCTCAGTCCTCTGTGTTGTTTTGTTTACATAATCAAAGAAACTTTGTGAATTGCATATAATGGAAATTACACTAAAGAACATAAGTCAGTTTACCTCAAATGGTAATGAATTTATGATACTAGTATTCTCAGTAGGTTCCTCAGTACAGTGTAATCAGTATGAATGAGAGCTAGAAATTGTTCTAGCCAAGGTCATAAATGTTCCAAATGCTAGATCCAGCTGGTTCTTAATCTTTATCTCATTCAGTTTTCTATGACTCTTTGAAATTATTTCCTCATCAACCTTGAATTATAACCTTGAAGCACTCAACAAAGGCTTTCAGATAATCTTTATTTTTCTATGCCTTATTAACAGGTTGTATTCTTTTTTCTGTCAACTCTATACTCAGTTTCATGTTAAGTGAAACTATCTTGTTTCAATGGGTCTTAAAATAATATTTCTGAAATTTGTTGCTGATTAACAGTATATGACTTTTCCCTACAACATACTGTACTTATGGTTCTAATGGATGGTTTTTCCTCATTCTGATTTGCTTTGTTCAAGGACTAATGTTCTGCCAACGTTTTCACAACCAAATCTAGAACAGCAGAAGGAAATTTACCTCAGGAGTGTCATTGCTCACATAGAAGGCCCAGAGGACTCTAACCAAGGTAACATGGTAACCAAAGAATGACATGTAAAAAGATGGAATGGAACTTTATTTTTTCAGTGTAATTAGCTTAAAGTAGGAGATTATTTTGACTTTTCTTAAATTGCTGAGATGGAAAACTTCTGTACACAAAGATTTTTATATCAAGGGATTGCCTAACCAGATATTCCCAAGAGTAGTTTGGCTAGTCAGCATTAGAGAATGGGTGCAAGGGCACTCAGTAGTGCATGAAGAGACTTCCCCTTTTTTGAGGACTGTGAACAGACCTGTAATTTTTTGCTAGGGATTTTTATCTAAAAAATGAAGTGGGTGACCTGGTACTCCTCATAATGTTGTTTTTTTTAATTATTATTTGGAATTACCTCCCTATTGCCTTCAATATTTAAATGTAAAAAGAGGGCATTTCAAATACATTTTTTGCATCTTGGCTTCTGAATAAAGCCTATGAAAAGCTCTGATTGCCGAGCTCTTCAAGCCGAGTTCTCCCTAGTCAGTAAAAGTTATTGTAAACAAAAATAGCTAAATCTTTCTTCAGCCCTCGGAGATGATAGTGTCACATTTGTTCTGAATTTGTGAACATCCACCGAAGGGCAGAGGTTAGAGGGCTACTGATGAAAGAATGCCTTCTCATAAAGATCGTGTCTATATTCTGTCATCTTTAGATTCTTTTCTTTATTCACTCATCAAACCTTTCCAAGTGCTTTCTTTAGTGTTAGACTTGAAGATTAGTGATTGGAAATGTGAGGAGGAGTGGGGTAAGGTCTTGGCCCTCTAGGAATCGGTATCTGGGGAAGCAAAAGATAATTACATTGCAGTATTGGTTGGTGCTAACAGAATTATGTATAAAGTACAGTAGGAAGAAGCCCTTTTGTTTATATTTGGGGACAATGGAAGACAGAAAAGGATGCCCTAGGTAAGCTCCACAGAAAAGATAATTAGTTCAGCTATTCACAGATCTATTGTAAATCATGACACAGTTTTAGAAGTTTGGAGGATTAGAGGATACTCAACCTTTCTTTGACAAACCTTGAATTACTTCATAGTTTTTTCTTATAAGGCTATGGATGAGTGAAAGGTTTAGAACTCTGAAACATTGGCCAGAAGAATTTATTATTCCAGGTCCTTTTATTTTTTTACTTGGGAATTTTATTAAGCAATCAAATGGTTGTACTGATTGATTGGTCTTCTGCTTGTGAGATCCCTGTGCTTGAACTATTTTAAAGGTTTGATGGAACATAGACACCTGTCATTGGTGGGACAGATTTTACAAACTCTGTCCTTATTCAACCTCTGTGGAAGAGATTTGATCATTGCTTTTCTTTAGCTCCTATGAGGTGTGATGTCCTTTATGTCTAAGACAGTTGATACTGACGCTATCCAGCGAGATTTTCCTCTCGCACTTGGGACATTTAGAAAAGAAAATTTCACAAAAAAGTAACAAGCAGATGCTTGTATTATAGCATCTTTTCTAGTCTCATCCCTCTTTATCAGTCCTCCCATTATTACCACAATACTCCCCATCCCATAAGAAATGGCTAAGTAGAGGAAAGGCAGCAAACTTTAGTGGTTGGTAAAGTCTGGCTTAGGGTGTGCATCTAGATTTATAGTATCACTGGCACCACTAGTGCTTGAGATCTTGTGATCTCAAGCTAATAAAAACAGTTTTCACATTTATAAAATGGGGAAAATAATGAGGCTTAACTAATAGGAAAGTTGTACATGAGGACAAATGTAATGCAAATGAACAGAACCTAACCACGGTAACATTTATCTGGTGCTTAAGGAAAGTATTTATTTTCATATTTCAGTTTTTACAGGTAAAATAGTATGAAGTTAGGAGTTTTAAATCTCAAAAAGAAAAAAAACTGGAAAATTAGAGAAAACAACTTTAATAAAATACTGAGTGATGTGTGGGAATTCACTAGACTTTACTTGTATATTTGCAAATTTCCATAGTAAAAGGTGTTTTGTTTTTTTTTTTAAAGTGCATCTTTTAAGGGACTCCTTTTTGACACCAGTTATTCTAAAACTTTTCTAGGCCTCCAGTGCTTGTTTCTACCTTTTAAGAACCCCTTGTGACACTGACTTCTGGTAGCTTCCCACTGGCCAGTATTTACACATCCAAAATACAGATGTGTAAATGCCATGTTACAGTGGGTCAGAGTCATGTTCTTCATCTCTGTTTGAATTACAGAATAGACAGAGAGCAAAAAGAAGCATATTGTCTTCTGTCATTTTTGTGGTGTGTAATGCTATTTTAACTTGGGAATTATGACTCTAGATTCTTTATTAGACAGAAAAATTAATAGGGAGCATATTCACTTGTAGTTCATGGCATTTCAATTTGAATTCTCTTCGTTGGTTGTCATCTCTCTTATTACCAATAGTATACATTGATACTGATACTGAATATAATATCACTCATCATTCAGCTCCATTATTCTAATGTAGATGTAATCTCTTTTTCATTTTGATGTCACATGGGTATTTACTAGCATTTATAACCACTTCCTTCCTGGCTTTCCAGCTAATGGAAAACTTTCTATTAGGTAGAAGTTCTTAGAGGAGAAAAAAAGACCATTAAGATCTCTTTAATAAATAAATCTCTTCTGTATATTTTGTGTCAGGTGACTCAGCCTTTGCTCAGAGTTCTAATAAAACTATTCATTACTTCATGAAGCAGAACATTTATTGTTTAGAAAATTCTAATTGTTAAAAACTTATTCTTTACTTTGAATCAAACTCCTGTAATTTCAAATAGTAGTTTTTAGTTCTGCCCCCTTGGATCACGTTTCCATTTACATTACATAATTTAAGGACCTTTCCATGTTAAATATCTCAAATTAAAATTTTTAATCATTACAAAGTATTATATACTTTTTTATTCCAACTTGAATAATTAGGTTGTGTCCATTTTCATTAGCAATGCTGCAGTGAAGAACATTCTGGTCAATAAATATTTCTGTACAACTCTTATTTCTATAGGATGAATGCGTAGAAGTGGAATTGCTGGGTAAAGTATATAAATATTTTTAAAACTTTTTGTTACATGTTATAAGATTGTCCTGCCCCAAAAAATTATGTTAATTTTTGTCACCAAGCTGATAGGTAAATTTTAACATACTTTGTTTTAGTAATTATATTAAATACTTTTCATGTTTATTGGCAATTTATATTTAATCATAATTTATTAAAATCATCTCATACCTATTCTATTTTCTAACTCCCCAGGTTCAAAAACATCCTGTAAATTTGTTCAAACAGAATCTGATTAGGGTCATGTTTAGATATTGTGTCCTCAGCCTCTCTTAATCTAGATGACTTGTTTTGTAGATTGTTTCACTTAACTGCATTGTGTCCAGTTGTTTCTTCTGTGTGTCTTTTAAATTGTTTTTCCATCCCTTGTATTTTTTGTAATCTGGAAAGTGGGTTTAGAGGAAGGATTGGATTCAGGTGAAGGATTGTTTTTGGCTGGAACAATTCATAGGTACTGTTATGTATTCATCCTGTGTGAAATTAGGAGGCACTGCGTAATGATAGGTTGTTCTAGTAGTAATGTTAAGTTTGATCACGTTGTTAACTTGTTAGCTGCCACATCTTTCCATTGTAAGGTACATTTCCCACTTTGCAATTAGTAAATCATCTGTGGTAATCCTGACTTTGGTATTTTATCAACATCCTCTTCCACAACAGTTGTTCCCCTAATGTTTTTTAAGCATTTACTGATGATCCTTGTCTGAATCTACACTAAGTTGTATAGACAATTCTTAGCTAACATTTAGCTAACATTTGTTTGTACTTTTTTAATATCACTAGCACTTTATGGATTTTTAAAATCAGTGTGTTATAATCATTATTCTTTTTCATGCTCAATTTATCACAATGTGACTGATGGAGAAGTCCTGTGGTCTTCTGATGAGACTATCTTTTTAATTATGGAAGAAAAAAGTTTTTTTTCGTCATGACCATTTAAGTATACCATTCAATAGTAGTATATTCACTTTATTTTATCTCATGAATCTCAAATTCTATGTCCATTAAATAACTAGCCTGTTCTCCTTTTCCACAAATCCTAATAACCACCATTCTATTTTGTTTCTATAAATTTGACTACTTTATATCTCATAAATATGGAATCATACAATATTTTTTGTGGTCTTTTTTTATAGCTAAGTGATATTCCATTGTATGTATATACCATATTTTGTTCATCTGTTCATCCTTAAGTAGGTTCTTTTGCTTTTTGACTATTATGAATAGTGCTGCTGTATACCTGGGTATATGTATTTAAGACCCTGCTTTCAGTTCATTTTGATATCTATCCAGAGGTAGACTCTAAATCATATGGTAGGTCTATTTTTAATTTTTTAAGGAACATCTGTATTGTTTGAGAGTGGTTATACTACTTTATAATCCTACCAACAGTTCACAGTGTTCCAGTTTCTCTATATCCTTGCCAACTCTTGAACTTTATGGTTTTTTTTTTTTTTTTTTTTGGTAGTAGCTTTTTGTAATGGTTGTTAAATCTCAGTATTCACTGTATTAGAAGTAAGTAAATATTGTTCACTGCCAAAACCAAGTATTGTACTATAGTATACTGTGGTTTCATTTTTCTTTCTTAAATTAGTTTTCTGGAGTTAATTACCTCATTTTTTTGAGAATAACAAATAGTTTTTTCCTTAATTTTTTACATGTGCAACTTAAATTATTACCAGTGTTCCCCACCCCCTGAAAATGCTCAAAGTACCCAGTAATCTTATTAATTCCTTTAAATTTTTTTTCTTGAGACTTTTTTCCTAGAACCTTCTGTTCATCTGTGCCAGTGTGCACTGCTTGTTCTCTAGCCCTGCTACAGAACTGTCATGCTACTATTTCCCTTTATTGCCATTCTGGGTTGAATCTTGTTTTCTGGATCCTATTTCTTGATCTTTTGTTTTAGGGGCACACATTTTCTGAAAATTTCTCAGAGTCCATAGGGGATAAATTCAGGGGGTCCTCTAC